CCTTGTGAGTTAACTTCTATATTATATATATCAGCCGAACGACAGCCACGACGTCGACGTCGTTGATAAAGCAGCGCTGCAGCAGAGCCGATCGCAACAACCGTCTTGACTCAACTTCCATTTCCATTCCTTATCTTTTAGACTAATGGCGCTGAGCTTCAAAACAGAATAGAGCAAAATAAAAACACAGAAATATCAAAAAAAAAAGGTCATCTTGCCGGCTGTCGATCACCTTACGCCTTTAACCCTCGGGCATCTCCATTGAACCCCCCCGTCTAGGCCTGAAATCCGACTTTCAACTCTGTTCCGAGTTTTTGCATTATTTCGTCATTGATCGTGATGTTTACACGCGTCTGGAGTCTTGAACCTTAGCTTAAATTACCTTTACCTCTAATTTACCCTTGCTACATCTCCACTTCGCTGGCAGCACGTAATAAAAAAGTCAAATTTGTCAAAAGAAATATAAATATCAATTAACAGCGAAAAAAAGGTTGAACCAGCCTATTGACAGCGGAAACAGCTCACTGTTACTGAAGCCTCTCATAATTCCCATAAAGCAATATGATAATGCCAGTTGCTGCTTACAGGTACCCTGTAATCATTACACCTGCTGAAATAAAGTAAACACTGCCTTAAAATTGGGCGATTCTTGTTGGTTTTTAATAAGAGTGCTTTCCTTGCCATTTTAAAAAACCAATGTATTCCTTTGGATTTTTTAATTCAGTACTTATAAAATATTTATATGAATTAGGTTTTTAAGTTAATATAATTTTTATGAGCTTAGAATAATTACAAAACTACAACATAAACTTATTATTTAAAATAAATTTTAGAAATATTATTATAAACCTTTTTTCCTTTTACCCTGGCCATATCAACCCTTACACTAGCGATTACTTACAGGGTATGTAAACTACTTTCGACTAAAGTCCGACATGGATTTCTAGAGTGATAACAGCTCCCAAAAATATTCTGCTACTATTATCGAATGTTTCTTGTTCTACTGGAAAGAGAGGTGCCAACAACAATCATCGTGGAATTCTAATCACAGCTCATAATCCTTATCATTGGCAGCGCTCCCTGCGTAGGAAGTCGTATTTTTTTTTCAATTTATTTACCTGAGAAATATTGTTTTTGTTGTCAATTTCAGAAACGAGTGGGTAGTAAGTGGGCGGTGGCGGTTTCGGTTGGTTGATCTTCGTCTTTTCACACCTTTCGGGGCATTGAATCGGACCGGGGATCGTGAATTGCGACCCGTTATCATTGTTAAGCGCTTTTGTTGCTGCATTTCATATTGTTGTTATTGGTACGTGATCGGCTCTTTGTTTTGAAATTCATGTCCCAAACACAAAACCATTTTGTGTTGCCCCTTTGCTAATATCGACTTATACGTGTTTTTATACAAACACAGTGGACACTCGAACAAATGATAATCAGCTTGTAAAAAGATAAATATAAGTAGTATATTAAGTAATACATTATTTAATATAATTTAATTAATATAATTATAAAAAGTTATTTTTCTTAAATTCACAACGAATTCATGACTTATTTATGAAAATTTTGAAATAGTTGCATTGCATTTAATACTGTATTTTTAAGTTCGATTTACTGCTTTATACAACTGCCTTGTAGTGTAGTCATAGGGCAAAGTCTGCATTCTTGATACGATTTGTTGTCGAAGCTTCAACGCAGTCGTCAACCCGAACTCTTTTTTGCTGTGCTTCTTTGTTTTCGATTTTGCTCAAGTATTAAACTTACTGTTGTTATTGTTTTTACTTTTTTGTTACTAAGTTTGCCAGCTTATTAATTGATTTTTTGCTTGCTGTTATTGATAATGCCATTGGTGCTGCATCAGCTGGTTTATCGAGCTTCTGTTTTTGCTATTTTGATGAGCATTTAAATGCGTTCAAAAGATTGAGATACTTGTTATGAGTGTGTTAGCTTCGATATGAACTTTATTTGCCAACAAAAAATATGCGAACGGTTTCATCAACAATCTTATCTCGAGCCGCACAGGTGTTAGCTAATATCATGAAGCGAGTTTCAAATAGTGACTTAGATAGAAAAATTGTTCGTAAAGGATTTTTTTTAAATTATAAAATATAAAAAAAATAAATTTATAAAATACATTCGATTCAACCTTTTTATAAATCTCTTTTTATTGAAATACAATCTGTCCCTGCAATAGTTAAAATAAACTACAATTAAATGTAATCATCAATTTTCTTAATTTTAATCCTTAAGCAAAGACCTATATAGTGGATATATGAATGTATTTAGTAGTAGGTTGACTTATCGCAAGATTTGAATACATGCGCGAAAGACAAAATTATCGGCTAATGCCAATGCCAGTGGGCTAAAAATATTTATATACACCCCCTTCAAAACTTATCGCAAGAGAAGCAATGTTTACATCATGTTTAGATTTCATGACTTTTGGTGATAAGATGAAAACCCCCAGCGAAGAAGAGTTTTATTTTCCATTCTTGCAGCAACATGTAGAAAGATTATCCGGTATTCAGTCCCTGTTACTGAAAAGAAATGTCTTTCTTGGCCAGCATCATTTTGTTTGAACTTTATCCATCCACATAACATAATGTACTTTGGCAGGTGAGTAACTGAAACAAGATAACTTTAATTATCGGAGAAACACCTGCACAAAGTGCACTAATTTAATAGCACACCATTGATCGATGTCTTGCGAAAATCAATTAACTTAACGGAACGAAGTTTACCCGATCAGCCATATGCCGAGCTGATTTTCAAGTTCGACTTTGATCCTCCAGTAATCGCTGAAGTCGGAATTGCTCAATGTGCAGCTAAGTGTGTGTCATCTGTGAGTAAATATTGACATCACGTAAATAGTTACTAGGGAAAAACATGAATGAATAATCTGTTTCTGAAAATTGTTTTAAATTAAAGGTAAGAAATATCCCGTTTCTGAGTTTTTGATTTACACGAACACTCGAAAAAAATTCAGTTGGACTATAGACAAGGTTAAGAGAACTATCATAGGTGGATAAGTATACTTTTATAGCTGCCTGGTGAGGTCAGTTACAGTCTAAGTCTATTCTTTTCAGCTATATAATTTGAGGTAATTGACAATAAGTTTTAAGTGGGCGTAAAAGGTTTATGGCTATTTAAATAATTCCTGAATGCTGTTTAAAAATATAATAATGTGCTGGACCCAAGTACTTTTATGATTTAGTTAAATACAAAGTAATAATGAATTATTAATGCCTAAAAAAATTTTCGTCAGTTGAGTTTTTATAACGATTATGAATTATAGCGTAAGAATTCATTAGAATTTGTATTTCATAAAAATATATATCCTGCAAATTGTTATTATATGTAGGTATGAAATTTTTAAGATTTATAAGTATTATGAGTTTTATAAAAAAATTATATACATATTTAAAATACGTCATAATAAAATACTTTTACTTTCAAACGTTTATGTATAGTTAATACAACAATCGCCATACGAATACATTGCGTATACGTAATATACGGAGTTTCGTTGGCGTATTCTTAATTTAAAAGAACAGCCAATTAAAATCTCTTTAAACAAATATTAATTTCCATTGCTTTCCCTAATTATATAACAACATTAGGTAATTAATCAACATGCTATTTGGCTCTCAATACGTGGTCATTATCTTTATGGTAGCTCGCGTTATTTTTCCCACAAAGTGCCATAATTTAGATAACTTAAATGGCGAAAAATGTTTAATTTATCAGCCCCAAGACCAAGAAGTGATAACGAAACCGGTGTTTAGGTAAAAAGAAAACTGCAAACATGGCCAAATGAAACAAAAGAATTGGCCAAGAACAAATGCGATGAACTTCACCCGGTGGCCTTCAAATTGGCTAAAGAAAGTTGAGTATTCCAGTTTCAAGTGCTGCAATCAGCATAACGCGAAGCACGAAATGAAAAAGGAAAATATAATTGAAATTATCGAAGCGTGGTTAAAGTTCGCCCCCTGGGGTTCTGCCTTGGCTAATTGTTAGATTAACACGATCTGATATTAGCTGATTAAACAAGTTTATTGTTTCTCTACCAATAAAAAAAAAAAAAGAGCTTTTAAAAGTTTGTTTCGAGGTTTAGTTATTGGGTTTAAAAGGTAAGCTTTTAAAGATACGTCAGTGCTAGGAAATGTCAAAAATCATGTTTTATTTTTTAGAAGAGTAAACCGTTTTTTACTATTTTGTTTTTTAAAATTAAAAGTAATTTTTGAAAAGTTTTTAGTCCAATTTCTTGTTAGAAAGGATTTCTCTTCGGTAATTTTGTTGCTGTGTTATTTACTTTTCGGAGTACTTTCTTAAATATTCTTTTTTTTTAGTTTTCAAAAAAAATATAGTAATTTATATTCTTATTGTTCCTGACTGTGTTGCTGCAATTGACAATTGGCAGTTTCTATGACCTATCTAAGTAATAATTCAGTATACATGCCTATTGTCTAGTGCTAAGCCGGGAGCATAAATTTAAGTTTATTGGTCTTATATTATTAAAAAAAACTTTTTAAACGTATTAAAAAGATTTGTGAACTCAATAGTTTAGAATTTGAGCAATGATAGTTTAATTTCTATAGTTTTTTTCGGTGTATTTACTCATCTTTGTTATTTAAGAAGTTACCAATAAAAATGTAGTTATCAATACGTGTTTCTAAAAACTTTTAAACTTAATTATAAACAGTTATTAATAAAAATGTATTTTTTGTTTCAATATCTATGCAGTTGTTGTTTGGTATATTAATGAAAATAAAATAATACATAAATAACTGGGGCTTACATCACGAAGCAAAAGCTTTAAGCTTGCTAATCGGGTAAGTTTTTGGGGAGGTCTTAAACGCAGCTTTTCTTAGTGCTGGGTAAGGCCTTCAGAGCGAGCTTTTATTCTGCTCTCCATTTGTGTTTAACGTTCGCCTTTTGCTGTTTTTTGTCAAGCTTGAGTTGGCCAGTTAATTAATAACAAGAGCTCGGGAGCGATATTCAATCTCAGAGTTGTTTTGGCCGCGTTGCCATTTAGACGTCGCCGCATTCTCGCTTACCTTCCGCTTCGATTCGCACCTGCATTTTCGCGTCCTGCCTGCAAACGTAAAAAAAATCGAAAAACACCCCCCAAACCAACTCCACCTCCCCTTCCACTGCCAATTTTGGACAATTGCAAAAGTTTGTCTACAGTGAAACGTGAAATCTCTTATTTTACCAAGGCAAAAAACAAAACAAAAAAAAAAAACAAAACAAAACAAATATCTCTGTGCTGTACGAGGCATATAATTTTGTGTGTATTTTTGCGGTAAGTTGCGTTAACATTATGCTTCATAGAAAGCACATTTTGGGCATTGTATTTGTAGATTTTATTTCATTTTTGCCTTTGGGCAATGCGCATGCGCAGCTACGTTGACACACTTTCTGCCTCCACTTGGTTGGTTTACCTACTACCAAGTACAACTTGCCACAAGCAACTTACGACTATGGCTCTCTGGCTTTTGGCCATAAAAACAATTACCACTTTGCTGCTGACGTTGCCTGCATTTCGTCAGCGCGTGCGCTTCGATTCAGAAAAATACCTCCCCTTAAATATAGGTATACCCACGGTATTACCATTCATAATCTTCGTAGCTCACTACTTTGGCACTCTGATCTTCGGTAGCTGATAATATCTCAGTTGTTAAGTAAAGTGGGAATTGCCTAAGGCAGATGAGCGGGCGGGCTGTTGGGATATTACACCAATTGAGTGTGTGTGAAAATGTGCGGTGTTAAGTTATCTAAGAGGTGTTATGCTGTGGCAATGTAAGTAGTTTTGAATGGGCTAAATTAATGGAACCAAATTGTTACCTTGTCGTTTTGGGTTTGGCGTTTTGATACAGCTGAATTGTGCGACGGAGTTTCTGGGTGGTAATTTGAAACTATTTTAAACGCGTGAAGTTGGGGTAGGGTATTTGCAACGGTTTAAGCACTGTTACATTTGGCATTTAAAGTAAATAAAAAAAGGGGATGAAATAGTGTAATTTTAAGATCATGGTATGCCAGATTAAATTGTTGGTACTCATTAAAGCATTCCAGATTAAAGTGTAAGCAATTTGAATATATGTTTTAATCCGAAATATATAATTTATTTCAGTTGTCATTTAATGTTTTTGTTACAAGATTTTCCGATAAACTATATTACTCCTATTTCCTTTATCGTGGTTCGACTGTCACCTTCATAATGCATGCAAATGTAACACAATTGAAATGCAAATTAACGCATCATGCTGCTGTCCCACTTGCACCCACCATTTGCGTCTATTTTCTGTCCCTCACCGTCTGGTTTTAATTTCTGTTGATTCGCGGGATCGATGGTCGCGGTTCATAAATATTTCAGACGCCAATCAGCCGATTCACTGGGCAATGAAAGCATTTGCTCTAATAACACCAAAACATTGGTGTATTTTTTAATGATTTAAAGCGATTAACATATCCAATATGTGTGCTATTTGGTCAACTTATTCGGGTCTATTTAATCATTACAAACACTGGATAATTCACATACTTTAACCGACCTTGTTGTTCGCCACCAAAATCGCAGTACGAAGAGTCACAAAAAACTAAGTGAACATAAAACCAGTTAAACATCTTTTTCGGTCGATCGTGTGTGTGGGCACGAAATTTACTCAAATTGTTAACATTTTGTCAAATGAAGGATACAAGAGACTTGCGAAAATATACAAAGAGCCGTTATTGAATCTAGAAATTTACATATTTTTGAATACAGAAGTCGGCTTCGTACTTGGAACTGAAGGCGAATTTTTATGGCCGCCGCTCGAATGATCGAGTCGGTTGATTTTAGCATTGTGAAAGAAATCGAAACCGGCTATTCCTGCTCCTCGAGAATGATACGACTCGAGTATATTTATTTATCATTTGACGAGCCGGTTCAGTGGGTGAGCTAAGAAATTCAGGTGTCGAGTCGGAATGTTTTAAGATTTATGTTTCGAGAAAAACTCCGTTAGCAATTACATAAGACATTGTTTATATGTAGTTGCCCTAGATCAAGTTTTCCAAAAAAAAAAGAAGATGGGAAATAGTTATTTTAATTAAATTTAAGTCAAAGTAAATCCATCCTATGAAAAATTATTTCAAATCTAATTTGTAATTGTTTTCTATGATACAATATATTTTTAACATCTAGCTATTCTTTTTTGGAGAGGTAATATTCAAAAGAATTTTAATCAAATAAATGTAATTACATATCATGTTTAATTTGAAATTATTTGTTTATCTCTTTATAAGCACAATAATAAAAGCACGAACAAAAAAACATTCTAATAATTAAGAGAAAAATTCCATTACCTTTGCATTTGCATTGTTAGTTATGAAAGTATGGGTAGTTATAAGTTCAAAAGTCAAAGTCTACCCTTAACTGGATATTCTGGATTTTCTCTGGCCTTTAAGTAAATTGAGCCCAATTTACATATCATGTTTAGAACACTTTCATTAATTGGCTTATAACCAGCTAATTGCTATGGAATCGTACATGTTTATATCATTTCAATACAAATCAAACCGCTCACTTTGACAAATAGATTGATATGCAAGGCACGGGATATGCATTTGATTTTATATCAGAACTGGCATTGTACCATATATACAGTATATATAAACTGGATTGACCCATTTTGAAGTCAGGGGCACGTCTGAGCTGATATTGAAGTAGCTTGCAACCAATGTATTAGCTTGATCGTTTATTTTATGGTTTTTATAAACTCTTAATTAAAGTTGATTGATTAATCTTGTAGTCAGTCTAGTGTACATACGATTTCCACTTTCTTGGATTATAGTTATTTGTAGATGCAATTTGATTGTAACACTTGATTAAAGCATAAAATAAATTAATTAATTCTCTTATATAACTTTATGTTATACCAAATCGATTTACAACAGCCATTGTAGCTGTCATAAAAACAATGGTTGTACAAAAAATCTAAGATAACTTTCCAAGCGTATTAAAGCACCGAATTTTCTCTTTTTATTTTGGTTTTAGCTCAACAATTGCTTCGTCATCTGTGTCGGCGAGACAATCGCTGCAAATAGTAAAATTGTATAAAGAAAAAAACTGTAATTTGCATTTAATAGTCAGCTTGTTGATGGTATTGATCATTTTTCATATGACTTGTTTATTTATGCATATCATGTTGGCTATGAGAATTGAGTGCATTTTTTTTATCCCAATGGCGCTTTGTTTTGGGTTTTTTTCTTTTACTGCCGGGCAGTTAAGTTTGGAATTGATTAGACAGCAGTTTATATTCGGGATTATTTCTGTTGTGTGCTAATCTTTATACAATAATCGCTTGTTTATATGGGTGGACATAACCCGATTAGACTTTCAAACTGAATTTAAATTTTTCTTTGTTCTCTTTTCTTTGTGTTTGGCGATATTAGCTATCAGCTATCAGCTTATTTAACCGTCCGACTACTGGCATTATACTCAATTGCACTTTCTTGCTTGGGCCACAGTTTCCGCTGGCAAGTGACAGAATCTAAAACGCCTCAGTTCAATTCAGTTGCGCCTACTGGAAGGCCACAAAAGTCCAAAAAGATAAAGTGAAATAATACTCAGTGGAATACAATTGTTGAGGCAGGTGAAGTTGGGGCACATAATGCTAGCTATTATATATATCTCGTCGTACGCAGGTAATTATTTGATTGCGTCAGACTTTGATCGACTGGTGGAAGTTTTCCCCTATTGAAACATCAGATTCTGCCAAAAGCACGTCCGGGAGGTTGGGTTCGTATTACCTTGTTGAGGGTCATCAAAAATAAACAGGGTTCACAATAAAGCTTGTTACAAACAGGTTGAGTGGTTGTTAAGTTCATGATTTTCCTGATTTTAATTAAAGCTGGAAATTGCGAAATTCCTAATTTTAAAAGTCCAACTAACTTTTTTGTACTACACTCAGACTTTGATAAATTAAAAAAAAAAGCAATTAAAGGTAAACATTGTTTACTATTGATGAGACCCTTTCTAAAAATACATTATTTTATTAATAAGTTGCAAATTACAAAATAACTGAATAAATTTAGTTTAAAATAACGCCCATGTGTTTAATTGCAAAAATACATATCTGCTTAAAAGGGAACCTTTGTAAAACTGTATACTAAGTATTTCCGGTCATAAGAAATAAATTCCAAAATTAAGTATACCTTTCCAATTTGCTACTAAAATGGGTTCCTTAAAAACTTGAATTGCTGGTGAATTTATTTATTACTGGTCAAACAAGTTTTAAAATTCAAGCGCATTTTGCATCCAAAGGATCATTTTCAAGGATGAGTACAATCACTTCTGAGAGATCGTAAAAAATAACCCAAGGTCGTTAAAACTCTTTTTACTTGCAGATAAATTCTGACCATTTTTTGAAAAGTTTCTTTAAATATTTTGATACATCTGAATGCAAGCATTTAAAAAATATCTTCTCTTTCCTTACTGGAATTATTATTATTGGAAATATTTGTATTCCTTTTTGTAGGCCCAATTAAAAAGTTCAAGTTCATTTAAAAGGAAAAATACTTCAATTAACTTGCTAACTCCCTCCTCAGTCTATATAAAAACTTTAAGAAAGATATAAACCGGATTCGATAAACGCTGAATCATTATGAGTCCGCTTCATTCTGCATCATGGGTCTACCCTATGTGGCTAAATTTAAATTCGATGTTCCCTAAATGGAAACAGCGCTCACAGAATAATATTAAGTCGTTGATCAAAGATAAGTTCCTGGTAATTAGAACCTGTTCGCCATTTTTTAGATGAGGTGACAAACGCTAAACAGAACTTTGATTTCGTACTGAACATATTCTCTAGTTTAACTGTGATAAACAAATTAACTTGAATGGCGTTAAAACTTAAGTAAATTGCACAATCTTATGTGGTATTTTTTGACGCATTATAACATGATATTAACCCTTTTTTTTTAGAGCAATTTACTTGACATTTTGCGTGCGGTTAATTGGCAATTACATTACTCACGAAACCTGTGCCACGGAAATGTCTCAAAATAAAGATCACGCTTAGTTGTCTTATTGTATTTTTTCGCAAGTCACACCAAAATTTTCTGTCACTCATTTTTCTGATTTAATTGGATTTTACAAATCCCGTAGACAAGATTGACCAACAAATTAGTATGCGCATAACTTTATGGGCTGTTGAACTCCATGCCGAAGACCAAGTCAAACACAAAGGCCGCGTGTAAATAAAGGCATATATTACCCAAGATTCATTAACGAAATTTCTGGAAGTCAACAGAAATCATAAAGCCGAGGCAAACATTGTTAGAATGACAAATACCCATGTCGGGTCCAAATTTTTAGAGATTTTTTTGGTTTCAGTCCAGTATATCCAACAATCTCTGCTCTTGGCCTTGACTTCTACCTTCAATCGCGTTGACCGCACAAAAAAGTCAATATCAAAAACTTACTAATTGCTTTGAATCATAAGAGCAGCAGTAAATCAGATTTAATGGCCACAGCCGATTTGCACTACTCTGCAACTCACTCGACCGGGTTCCTTAACTTCTCGACTTCGAGTTTGACTTTTCTGTGCCATTGTCAAGTCCTTCATGACAGGGCAAAGATCACAAATGCTACGTCATCGAGCCGATTTTTTCGATTTTGTTTTGTTAGCCAAGGTGTTGCCAAGTCGTCTGCGAGCCAAACAGTCGAACCACGAATTTTGTCGACAAAAAACATAAACTATGATAGCAAAGATCGAAGACCCTAAAAAGGCGTTAACTAACTTCATTAATATTAGCGAAAGTAAATATTACCCATTTATTCAATGGGAAAAAGAGTATTGTTTTTAAAATGTTCATATTTAAAAATTAATGTTTTATTTTGCATTGTTTTGTATAAATTTATACTAACACCTATTTTATTAAATAGTTAATGTATTCATTTTAGTCATTAAATTTGCATTAAATATTAAACGGAAAGATAATTTAATTCCGTTAATGCAAAGTCGGGTTTGAAGATTTTTTGATAAATGATCCAAGAAGTGCAGCAAACGCCCTGACCGAATTTCTACAACCTTTGCGGTGAGGGTATCCACTGATTTTAGCCGCCAAACGCACGTTTGGTGACCAGTTTTGGGCACTATTGTCTATATTTCTATATCTATAGTTACCTGTTTGTCCGGCGGCCTCTTCTTCCGTTGTGCCGATTTTTCGGCTACTTTTGCTAATGAAGATTAGCATTTGAGTCATACATAAACATGCGAGTGTGTATATGCTTAACCGTTTCCATTGGAGCGAGGCATTGAACTGTTGCCGCTTTTGCTTTTGCCTTAGCTTTTGTTTTTTCCTTTGGTTTTGGCCAAGCTACGGAAGTAACCCAGTTGTGCCAATCGCTTTGAGGAAACGGTTGCCAAACCACTCAAAACGTTTGAGTCGAGACCAAAACAATCTCATTCTCGTTCGCAGCCTGAACCGGTGAACAACTAGCAGTAGATCACGGAGTTCAGATCACAGATCTCAGAGCACATCACATCAACACAATGGGCAAGGCGGAGTGCATTAGCTACGATGAGCAGCAGGTGCCCTATATCGATCTGGGTTCGGCACAGATTCGTATGGAGAAGGATGCAGCACCTGAGTGGGCTCTGAAAAAGGCGCAGGACGAGCTGAGGGAACTGCCCGGCGTCAAGGAGCAGGCCATCAAGGACCTCAGGGAGCTCATTCAAAGTGAGTAAAGTAAATAAAGCAATTTATATAGTTTTTTAATGAGTTCCCCACTATTTATTTAGATGAAAAGTATCTGAACCTTCCGCTGGATGATGAGTACATGATGATGTTCCTGCGTCCCACCCATTACTATCCAGAAAGTGCTTTGAAAAGAGTGAGTGGTATTTGAGAAACAAGCCTTTTAAAAATATATGTCAAAATAATATTTTTGTAAGATTTAAATTTATGAAAAATGTAATATTCAACAACAATTTTAACCGCTTTTGGCTACGCCTTTCACAATATAAATAAAAATAGTTTCACATTATAAATCGAGAATTATAGATTTTAAGCCCTCTTCAATAACATGTAAGAAAATTAGACTGAATAAAAGAAAATTCATTTAAATCAAAATTTACTAGAAGGGTATGTTTTTAAAACTAAACTAATTTTCATTGTTTTCTTTTTATTTACAGCTCAAGAATTTTTATCACATGAAACTGAAGTACGGAATTGCTTGTGAGAATATAATCCCCAGCAAGTTGCGCAACGTTTTCGAGGCAAATATATTGAATTTGCTTCCCCAAAGAGATCAGCATGGTCGTCGTCTTCTAGTGTTGGAAGCAGGCAGTAAGCTTTGCTTAATAACAAAATTAAAATGATATTTAAATTAAATTTGTGCCCTAGAAAAATGGAAGCCGTCCCAAGTGCCTTTGGTGGATTTGTTCCGAGGCATACAATTGACCGTGTTGGGATCCATGGTGGAGCCCTATTCACAAATTTGCGGAGCAGTTGTTATCATCGACATGGAGGGTAATAAAGTCTAGACATTAAATGGCAATAATACATTTTAATTAACCTGTATTAACCTTTTTACAGGTCTGCCACTTAGCCACATTACACAATTTACACCCTCGTTTGCCGCCATGTTGCTGGATTATATTCAAGAATGCATCTGCATGCGTTTGAAGGCAGTTCACATTGTGAATAATTCATATATATTCAATATGCTCTTTGCGATATTCAAACCATTTATTCGTGAAAAGTTGCGCAAGAGGGTGAGTTCTTAAATTGCATGTATAAAGGTTAGAGGGTTTATTTAACGATAAATTATAATTTTTTCAGATATTCTTCCATGGCAAGGACTACAAGTCCCTGATCTCTCACATTGATGCTGGTGCCTTGCCTCCCAAATATGGTGGTTCTGCCACTTGGGAACTGCCGCCTGGTAAACTACTGGGAGAATTCTTTGAGTGCTACGCCAAGGACTATGAACGTAAGACGTTTTAAAATTTGTAAACCAACCTTAAGATAATTAATTTAAATTGTTTTCTAGTGGCCGACAGCTATGGGTACACCGAGGGCTATAAAATGAAAAAGTAATAGTACAAGAAAAACAGATAAATCCACCCAATCCTCAATTAACCGTTTTGATTCGTATTTTAGTCACTTAAGTTGGTTCATTTGTGATATTGCAAATATTGTCGTACTTTAAGTCGTAGTCTCTTTGCTCTTAAAATTTAAGGCTCAAAAAACATTCATAATAATTGGCAAGCTCATGATTAAGGCAAAGATTTTGTTTAGCGTTTTCTAAGCATTAAAACTGATACCATTTGTAATATAAACTTTTTAAAATTGTTATTGAAATAATGAATAAAGATGAAAACATTTGTTATAAAAGTATGAAAAACCTGTTTTGTTTTTTTGTAACTGGGTAAAATGTTTGTAAAACTAAAAATATTCTGTGCATACAAGTTCGTTAACCACAACAAAAACCAAATTTTTTTTAAATTTATATAAAATATTTTATTTGACTCACACAATATTGGTCAAGAAAACATTTAAATACAAAACATATCTAATAGCTAAGGAATGTAAAAAGAGTATTCGTTAGCTAAGCGAAGATCGGCACATGATGGACTTCGTAGGCTATTTAATCTTTGGCATAGGCACGGGAATGGTTGCAGTTTTTAGTTGGATATTTTTTAGAGTGCCTCTAAACTATGAGCTACGACTAAAGCACTAGGACGGCTTAACTATCTAGATGGCGTGGATGTAACGGGAGACCCTTCAATCCTTCAATCCTGCTTATTATCGCTGATGGCTGTGGAGGCAGTGGCCACACTCTCAACCGTTTGCGATTTGATGATGTTTGGCTTGCAGCTTTTTTCGAGGAGCGGAGAACTGTCCGGAGATCCTTTGACACTCTTTTCGCAGACCAAAGTCGAGGCCTTGGACTTGAGTTCCTCGGCACTGGAGAATTGGGAGCGACTCTTGTACTGACCATTAGTTTTGGTCTGGGTTTTCAGATCGTATCTACGATTCCGACACGCTGACACCAAATTTTGAACTGGTCCCCAGCACAGGAGTATTAATCCAGTAGCCAGGCAAATTCCGGCGAAGATTTGTCCGGACAGCAGTACAATCGGCAGCATTTTCAATTGATCAGCCATTTCCGGAGTGATTTTCACTTTTTGCTCAAACCATATGAGTGGAAAGAATACCCTGGGTATTTCTGTGTACAAAGCGAGGCCTTCTATTGGCTCCACCAGCATGTTGACCTGAAATCGAGCAGCCACCTCCAGGGGAATACCAGTTTTCGGCTCCACTACCATATAGAACTCGTGATCCTTCTGATTGGGACTTAAACCCTCCACCTGGTCAACATAGTAACGATCTCCATTGAAAAAATGCGGATAGGACATGAAAACAGGAGATCCAAAGCGACAGGAACTGATGTTCATCACTCCCGAAGGAACACATTCGCCACCACAATAGCAAAGGTTTTCAGGATAACGAGTGCCTGTAAAATAATTGATTATATTAATAAGGCTTTTTTAATGAGAGGTTGTGCAAAAAACTAGGGTTTAAAATGATATAATGTAAGTATATAGCTTAGTTGGCAAAAAAATCAAACCTGTTTTTAGAATATTTAAGATGTCTGGTTTAATACTAGCATTAAATTAACGATATAATAAGGGAGTACTTTTATTCAACTAGCTTTAACGTTTCTCATTTACAATTTTAAGTACCTAACGCATTTTTGTAGAATGTTTTGACTCCGACCTACGTCAAAGATAGTCACAACGTACATTTGCAACGTACAATTTAATGGAATTATTTAATTTTATTCAATACAGACCCTTTTAAGCTTATGGAATTACGCATCCATGAAATGCGTTGCATAAACAAAGTAACAAATACAATCTAATCGAAGCTCACCATTATCTACAGAACGAGGTCCTCCAGAAAATTTGTAACCCTGTAGTCCTTCGATATCAACCGTTTCCGCATAATCCAGCGGAATCGTACGGCACATATCCGGCGTAAATAGACCGACACTATCGCCGGGCTTGAGATTCTGTGGCTGGAATTCTCCGGCAGATCCATTGGTCATTCCGCAATAGGAATCGTAAAATCCAGTGTTTTCCTGATAATTCCACGCGTGCATTTGACCCAATTTGGAGAGATTATCAGCGCCAGTGAAAACATTGAAAACTCCGGTGAGGTCGGCGCTTCCATTGCGCGTATAGAACCAGCCGAATTTATCAAAGGGGACCTTCACCTCATCTCCGAAAATGGGCATGGCAATGGCCACGTCTATCATCATATCGCTGTATCCGGTGAAGAGTAGCTCGTCTATGGATTTTTGGACAGACATTTCGGCACCGTACATCTTTAGACCCAAATCGACCAAGGTGCGCTTATGTGAAGGCCAGTATTTCGCGGTGGCAGCTGCGGACTGATGTAAAAATGTTTTTTTTATTCTCAGAAAAGATTCTTTAAAACATTTTAAATATTTTTTAAACATGCAAGGCTATTAAACAGTTATTTTCGCCTTCATTAGTAAATACAGAACCTTAGAAAAACAAACAAATTTTTTTTAATTATTATAAGTTATTTAAGTTAAACTATTATGAAAGATTCGTGGGATTTTTGCATTCTAAATTTAAAGTTATATACAACTTTTTTAAATTCTACAAATTATTTAAAGTGGTACCCACCAGAGCCACAGCATTGAGGGTGTTAATTTCATCATCCAGACTTCCGCTACTGCCCTCCGCATCAAAATAGAACAAACTGCGTCTGCGATAGCTGACGGATGCGTTTTCGGGATGCCAGTGGATGTCCACCTTATCGGGTCGCTCGGTAAAGCGATATGGACCCACTTGCTCCAAAATGGGCTTTGTGGAGAAATTACCAAAGTCCTCCGGATTCGTCCAGTTGTAGAGATAAATATCCAGACTTAGATCCAAGGGCGGAGTTTTCCAATTATCGTATACTCGTGTGTTGGGCGCCAGAGCCATTTCCTGTCGAAGAACGCAAACCGCAATTAGAATTAATTGAAAATCTCAACGAGTTTTCCTCGATCTCTGACTCGCGCCAATTGAGAGGCGGCTGTTTTCCTTTGGCTCTCAATCTCAATTGGCTTTAGTCGCTAATCGAAGGCAGCTGGCCGAGCCAACACATGAACATGATTTGCTGAACCCTTGTCAGCGGAACTGGGATTACCCTCTGCATGATCCAACTGAACAGGTCCGCCCAGAACAGTCCGCACAATATGCCAAATAGTCCCAGGCAGAAGCCGAAAATACCGATAATTAATTTGCGATTGCTTTTTTGGCCCCACATCGCGCTGTTTTGTGTTGGCATGGCTCACGCTGGGCGACTATGTGGATATCTAATGGTATCTGTAACGATAGGCAAGTAAATAATACAACAAAGAAAATAAACAAATTGACAGAATAATAAACAAATTTTTATAATATCGAATGACTGGAAGTGCGGTTTATATAATGCTTATGTTGAAATCTATTTTAAAATATAAACACATGTAAAAAATATTATCTTCTGTTTTTTTTTTTGTTATTAAAAATAATACTAAATATTTATTTAAAAGTCTATTGTATTTGTTAATCCAATAAGTTAGTTATTTTTCAATTTCGACCCAATACCTAAATGTTGCCTACTTTTAGGCCTGACAAATTCAAAATTAAACAAATTATATGTAAAATCAGATCATTCATTTACATATGCGTTAAACCCTTATAAACAAAAGTACGTCGAACAAAGAAAATACGTCCAACAATGAATCGAATATAAATAAATTGCAACAAGTGCAACACGTTATTGAGTGACGAATTCCCATAGCGTCTATTTTTATCAATATAATTGAATCAATTTAAGCAAAGCGTGACTTTCAATTGCTGTTTACACTCATGTTGCATATAGTAAGCCCAGTATATACACAAATATACAAAAGTATATTCGAATCCCATATCAGTGGTGATAATTACGAAGCTCTTCCCCCGACACTTTACGATGATGTGTTTAATTAGTTATGATAGTTGTTCGCTTCGCCATAAGCTATTTGTGCAGGTATTATTATTTTAAATTACAACTTACATGAATACATGTATACAATAAAATCAGATAAGAAATGTGGGATTTTTGTAAATAATTAAAGTAATTTTAACTACATAATAAAACAAAAATTGTGACCCCAAAAAAAAATTAAGGAACACCTTAGGGGGGTTCATTATGGTTAGTCTTAAAGAAACAAAAAAGAAGAAAATCACGTCATGTGGGGTATCCACTGTACACCGATAAGAGTATTCTGAACTCCTAGGTATACACCCCATAAGGAAGCGGCAAATAATTGAGGAAATTGAACTGCACTGCACTTATCGCTTATCGAGAACCCATCCAGTGGCAATTATTCGACCAATCTGCCCACGGTTCCCATCACTATATATCACATCAGCATAAATATTGCATATGTACATACGTGACCGGTCCGCATCTCTGTGATATATCGTCATAATTGAGTCTATCAATTGACCCCGCTGTGAGCTATGGTTGGGTCTTTGACACTTTCCGTTATTGTACATGAATACGAATCTATATATATACCCACATATGTATATATATAAATATGCTTATTCGGGAGCGAGTCAGATGAGTTCTGGTGTCTGGTAAATTGATATGATTATGCCTTTTGAGTGATGTATAGCCGTCGAGCGTTTGTCGGCGCCTTTTTATTGTCTTCACAATTATTCTGGAGTCAGTTTTAATTGGAATGGACATTGGACAGGTACATCATATTCCGCATTTTTAACTTAACTCAGTTAGATCAAGGGAAATCTTAATCATAGAAAATAAAGAATTCAAATGTATAATTCAAATTTAATGTGTGTGTGTTTAATAAATGTTTGACTTGAACAATATTATTTTGATCTTTTAAAGTAGTATTAAACCAAATGGAGGCAACGGCAGTTTATTTCAAGCGATCTCAATTATATTTATGTTTTCTTTCTGTGCACAAGAGATTCTTTGAACTTTTCTGTGGAAGCCTGAAACCTTAACTCTGAATAATTGCCTTTAATTAAGTTTACAAATTATTGCTGTCCGAGATATTCAATTCATTATCAAATTAAGCATTTCGCGAGCCTTTCACTCTGGCTGTTCATCGTACTTATTAACATTTTTATGAATGAACTGCACGTTTTATGAATATTCTATGCAAATGCCCAGGGAACACTGAACTCGTAAATAAAGTCAATGGGAACTGAACATTTGGGGTAGAATAAAAAAAAAATTAAGTACAAATTAAAATCTGTTTAGATTCTTATAACAAACTACTTAAAAATTGCAAACTACTTAGAAATGCCTTAAAGTAAACACTTAATTAGTCCAAGTGCACTTGCTAAAAACGGAAATCTTAAGCGCTACGTTAGTCACATTTTACCTGATACTTCAAGATCGATTTTTTTAATTTAGACGATGCCAACACCACAATTTTTGTTTGCTATTTTCCAACCCGATTTGACCGCACAACGTGCCATTGAGATGAAACCGCAAATGGGAAATTCGACGCGGTTCGTAAAAAGAACTCGCCACAAGTCAACAGCCAAGTAATTTGCATTTACTTTGGCGAGTTCTTTGATAATAGGCTATCGACATGCTATTTAATTTTCGAAGCCTTCAAGTACGAAAATAATCGTGACGATTATAGACTAAGCCAAAAACTACAAATAAAATATTCGTTTTGGGTAATTTGCAAACAATGTGTCGTCCCAATGGGCGTGCGATTTCGAAAATAGATTTGGTATTTTAAAAGTCTCACACACACACATTACAAAAGATTTGTAGTTGTTCTTAATCGAAACAAATTTGAATTTGAGTTTGGTTTTTTTAATTCGGAGCTCAATCCACAGTCAAGAACTCACTGAAGTGTTTCTAAGCCCTTTGAGATTTTAAATTATTTAATTGCTTGTAAACAAACTTATTATATGTTAATTGACCAAAATAGTTTGAATTCTAAAATAGAATTTTAATGCAAATAACAATGCAGTTTGTGGCTAATAAATTCAGTTTCCATACACTTGAACTCTATTTAAACAGGTCGTATGCTTAATTTGTCATGGAACAGCTGTTTCGAGTGAGAAGGCACAAATCTGCTTTGTTCATCGATTATTCAATTAGCAAGTAGCCAGAAAATGAACGATACTCATCTTTAGTTATGTAGGCACATTGGCGTACAAAATAACAAAGAAAATATGGATACATATATTTTTAATTGTAATAAATTCCTAACCCATTTTAAATACACGCAATTCCAATTAGTAAGAACCATTAGTTTACTGGCTTATGAATTAACTATTAAAATAAGGGCTTAGTCATTATCGCAGGGGCCTTATACAGAATAAAACATATATATTATGATTAATTATTTTTTTTACATAATTGTAAATGACTGAGTCTTTGAATCAAGATAAACAATGGTACACGCAACTGCAGTTCATTTATTTTCAAGTGTTTTTTATTAAAGAAAATCAACAGGTCGAATGCGCATTTCATTGTCAATGAGAAAGCCCTTTACAAAGATCAATGTCTATCAACGAATATTAGTTTGTCTTGCAACCAAGAATTTGTGTAAAAAAAATGTTAAAAGTTTGCAAGTTCTAGTATACTTAAGTTCTAGTATACTTATTTTGTCTTATAACATTTGCCTTGCTTTGTCAACTGCAGAAAATTTTTTGGAAGTACGCAAAAAAATAACTTATTTGATGAGAAGTGTTAGTTTTTGAAAGAGTTTGTTCTTAAAAAAGTACCAGCAACGTCCAAATTTTGTCTTAAGCAGCTGTTTTCACTAAGGATTGCCAAGTCTGCCGGCTAATTTTAGAACATTAATCACACATTCAACAGGTCGTCCGGTACCCGCAGCCTGAAGCCCTTTGTTTTGCATTCCGGCACTCTTATTAAACCAAACAGAAATGCAACACAATGCCAATATAAACACAATAAGAATGTATAATATAGGTTGACACTGTACATATATAGATGGATTTATGTCTGGCGACTATTTCTCAGTCTTTGTCGAGTTGATTTCGTTTAATGGCCTGTAATCTTAATAAGTCTGCCGGCGATTAAGCCAAATCAAGCCAAAACTAAATGTGCTAACTGGGCAGGAAATGTGTAGAAATTGCGTGATATTCACAAAGGAGTTGCTCCCCCGCATTCCCGAAATTCCTTTGTTTTCTTGAAGGCACTCACTTGACGTTTATTGGATAAATAGAAACAAATCACGGTTTTCTTTTTCAATTTTTGTTTTTCCTGATATCCTTGTGAGGAATTTGAAATTGGATAAGGATGTGGACACAACGCTTGAGCACGTGGAGGATTATTTTACACAGAGGCCGGAAAAGTGGACGCGAGTCTCGAAGAAAATTCCGTGGAGTGTTACCGCTTTGCCCGGCGGCTTGGCTGCGACTGTTGTGCGGCGGACTCTCGGCGAACGGGACTGCGAGCAGCCCTGCCGGAGAGAGGCGGGAGCGGACTGGGGGGCGGGGCAGAGCGGAGCGGTCGGCGTTTGTTGTTCCTGCTCTGCGGTTGCGGCCGATGAATGTCAGTCAAGTGAGGCACATCGGTATGGAAATGGAAATGGGCCTGAGAGGAGCTCTGAATATCTGTGTGCGAGTGGGTGTTTGGGTTAATTTACGCTTTAGGCTTTCCATAGTTTTGCCATTGAATTTTGAATTAAACTATATGTAATCTGAAACGCGAGCATGACTTTCAAACTGTGAAGTGCATCCGAGTATGAGAGTAGTCTGAAAAAAACAGTGTCACAAAAAATGTAGAAATGTAGCAAAAAAGTCATTAAGGCATAAAAAATTGAGCAATTAAAATTTTTTTTGATGCATTGCTCTAACTAATTTACGACGCAACTTAAAAAGTATACATTTTATAGGAAATTTGTATTTAAAAAAAGAAGAACATCAAAATGCAGTAAATAGTACCATAAAAGGAAGAAGCTAAATAAAAGTATATTCAATTTTGTAACTAAAAATATTTTTACAATATCTTCAATATTTGTACATTTTTGATGCATTTAGCTACTCATTAATTTTCTTGCATATTCATTTAAGCTTGTAAATTGCAAATTAAATTAGGTCACAAAATCACAATCTGCCTAAAGAAATCCCTATGCACTTGGATTATCATTAAACCGAACGGATTTTCGCACATAAAACGGGTGGTGTGGAAAAGTAAACAAATCGTAAAGTATAAACCGAAATTGATAACAAATTGTCGAAGCCTTATCAATGCGGCTAATCGTGATGATTAGCACTGGGTGAAATCCGAACATGCACGACTAACCTCATACACTTGTAAGCTGCGTAAATCGACAGGCGATCAGATCAAAGTTTCAACTGGCTGCCATTTCGCATATCATTGTGGCAAAACTCCCAGGCAAATGGCATAAAAAAGCCTCCCATGGCTGAGGCAATAAAACAATCAGATTTCGTTGCCTCAATGCGTATTTAGGCGCTGGCTCCCTTATTGGATTAGTCTTTGTGCCTCCTTTTACATTTCGTGCGAACTAGGATTAGTGGTTAGTTGTGGCCAAAGGGCCGTTACCGTTGCAGATTATGTTGCAATGTTGACAAGTGGAGCAAGCAAAAGTGGGCCAAGTCATCCCTTAACTTCGAATTGGGTCTGGGGCAACGTTTTTCATTTTCTTTCGTTCATTGTTCGAATGCAAGAAAACAATTAGATTCAAACAGTTTTTGTCAGCTACTGCTAAAGCGAGTCACGTAGCAAACAGCTTGCCTTTGCTTAATGTCTTACGTTACGTAAGGCAACTGTGGGGTTAAACATCAAAAGATACGTCACCGATTTGTGTAAAACTAAAATAGTAATTTATTCAGTTTGTAAAATAAAAATTGTATTACATATAATCAAATATTTAAATTTTATTTTTATTTAGTTTGTAACGTTATACTTTACTTTTTTTCTAGTTGATATCAAAATAATAATATTTTACAAAGTTTTCATTTAAAAAGTCTTTGCCAATAAAAATTGTATGTTATTAATCGCCAAGGTGAGAGTGAGAGTGGATTGTTGAATTAGAGCCGGTCTCATCCATGTGATGCGTAAAACGAAACTGGATGAGTATAATGAGGTAGCAAGTAGCAGCGCCAGTAATCTGTGAAAATATATATCTTAAAATATAAACATATATCTGTGCCCTATAAACATACGGTGAAAATAAGCGTGCGATCCAGACGAAAAAGTCCTGCGGCTGTGAAAAGAACCTTCCTATGCGACAGCTGCAAGGAGAGTCGGAAAAGACGATCTCTTAGCTCCGGATCATCGGTGATGTTCAGGATCTTGTGCACTATTGCGGCTGTATAATTGCTGTGCATAATAGTGCGGCTACTGGCCTCCACGATTAGTACGATGATCACTATATACCATATAAGTTGCATGAGGAAAAAGGCAAAAAATTCATCGGCCTCAAAACGATCCAAGCGTTTTGGATTCAGCATAGCTTCCAAAATGTAAAAGTCGTCGAACAGAATGAACAGAAAAGATATGGCAATAATGCCAAGAAGCGGATATGTGAAGTACTCCTCGATTGTCTGGCAAATATCGCAGAGTAGATTGTGAATGTTGGACACCTGTTTGATGGCGTACTCTGGATTCAGGCGTATTACAGAGGTAACACTGTACCGCTTCATGGGGGTGCTGATTAAATTTCGTAGGCGATGTGAGTACCGTCTGTGGTTTACCACCGAGTGCATGGGCGAGAGTTCCAAGGCGCTATGTTGCTCGATATGGGCATCTAGGATGTCCTGGAGGATCTGGGGAAAATTTAGATGTAAATTTACTGAATTCAAATTAAAGCTGACTTAAAATTTTAATAAAGTAATTAATAACAAAATGAACAACAAGAAAAATTTATTTTTTGGGCTTTAAGCTTAAGCTTAAACTATTAGCAGAAGAATTTTATAATGAACGCAAACATATATCAAAGCAGAAATCCGTTTTTTATACCCTTGCAGAGGGTATTATAATTTCAGTCAGAAGTTTGCAACGCAGTGAAGGAGACATCTCCGACCCTATAAAGTATATATATTCTTTATCAGCATCACTAGGCGAGTCGATCTAGCCATGTCCGTCTGTCCGTCTGTCCGTCTGTCCGTCCGTTTATATGCAAACTAGTCTCTCAGTTTTAAAGCTATCTGCATGAAACTTTCCCAAAAGTTGTCTTTCTATTGCAGGTAGTATATAAGTCGGAACGAGCCGGATCGGACGACTATAGCATATAGCTCCCATAGGAACAATCGGAAAAATAAATGAAAAAAAATTATAACTTTGCTGTTTTTTAATTTTTTGTTTAGTTCTTCGACATTTAGTAATAATGGTTAAATATTTCCGATTTACGGTTTAAATTTCATCAAAATCGGACGACTATAGCATATAGCTCCCATAGGAACAATCGGAAAAATAAATGAAAAAGAATTATAATTTTGCTGTTTTTTAATTTTTTGTTTAGCTCTTCGAGATATAGTAATGGTTAAGTATTTCAGAATTATGTTTTAATTTTCATCAAAATCGGACGACTATAGCATATAGCTCCCATAGGAACAATCGGAAAAATAAATGAAAAAAAATTATAACTTTTCTGTTTTTTAATTTTTTGTTTAGTTCTTCGACATATAGCAATGTTTAATTATTTCAGAATTATGGTTTAAATTTTATCAAAATCGGACGTCTATATCATATAGCTCCCATAGAAATAATAAAAATATATAAAATAACTATCTTATAATTGAGCTGCAAATCATCATAGTTTCAATGTTTTTCAGCATATACTCAAGTAAATTATAATTTAAATATTTTCTAAAGTATTTAATTCATGCAATAGCTGCAAGGGTATATGAACTTCGGCTTGCCGAAGTTTGCTTTCTTTCTTGTTTTAAATTAATTTTTATTTAACCAATTTCAATCAGATAATTTAAGCTATATTTTTTCTAACTAATGATAAGCAATAGTTTTTAATTGCTTTTTGCTGTAATTATATTTTTCGCTTTAATTGTTTATTTAGCTTTCATTTATATATTTCTAGAATTCTTTTATTGATTTTTTAGGTTTGTCATTTTTTTCCATAATACGTTACCACTATATTTATACATACTTTATATCAACTACATGTACATCTAAATCCCATGACACTTACTTCGTTTAGCATGCTAAACCGACTCCTGGCCAAGTCCGTGGTGCAAAGAAACTTGAAGACCATCAGGCTGATATTGATGTGCGGCAGGGCGAAGGCTGTGAAGGTCACAAACGAGGGCGAGATTGTGGCACTGACCAATAGGCTATAGCTCACACACAAGTAGATGACGTTGAACAGCAGCATGCCCAAGGATATAAGGAAACTGGACAAAAGTATCCTTCGGTAGTCCAACTTCATGCCCAGCCTCACGAATATCTCGTCAACCACGATGTTATTTTGGATTATGTCGACCAATCTTTGCCTTTTGAACATGGCGAAACCAAAAATGGTGGACATGGCCAGAATGCCAGTTAACCGAAGGGTTCCATCGCTGAATCTGGTGATGTTCGTTTGAAAGAAGTAACCAATTATGGAATCGCCCTCCTTCACAGAGATTCCGAAACACAGGACGAAGAACAGGAAGTGGACTATGCCTGCGACAAAAGAGTACGTCGATGTTTGCACCTCTTTCCGAGGATTTAGATTTAATCGAAATGGAGCCAGGCCCAAAAGGGAAATATATGTTAGGGGTCGAAGTGCCTGGAACACATTATCCGCCTGGGAAAAGCGCTCCCACAACTTAAGGGCCATCGAGAATCCTTATCGATTATAGATATTAAAATTCCGTGAAGGAATAACGTCCGCTCGATTCGCGTATTTTCCGCCAACTGAAAACGGAAGTCTTCGGCAACTGATGATGATGATGGCCTTTGTGTCAACTCGAGACACGACTGATATATCATATATCAAAATCGTTAAAGGGCTGTCACACACCTTCGCACACGTAATAAGCTAATATCAATAATAGCAAATATTTAATTAACCTTAAACGAGGGCCAGGGTTCTGGGTGGACAAGGTCATTTACAAACAAGTTCAACAAGTTCAACGAATTTCGTGACATGGCCAATTTTTTCGTAAACTCTATGTGTTATGCACTGGCTATTCATTACAATTGGCAAACAATTTATGGCAGCCATTTCATGACCACGCAAAATTGTCCGAAATGCTATCACTTTGGTGGCCCAATTTAAGGAAAGTATTTATTAATAATTACGGACATTACGGACAGCTTAATAAAATAAAGCATACGAACCCCCACAAATAAAATATAAAATTATGATTTATAAAAAACATACAAACATAAGATAAAACAAAATTGTTTATAGTTAATTTGATTTAGAACAAAAAATTATATTAAATAAGTTCTATTAACAGTTTTTGAAAACGTAAAAAGGAATAAAATTTAAAAAAGGTTGAAAGCCTTAAAATTTTTTTGAATGTCCCAATAATTTTTGGCACTCAAAAAGACAAAATATCTTAACGATTGTTAGTATCAATTTATATATTTTTGATCATTTCTTCATATTGACAGAAAGTACTTTTTTAAAGCAACAACATTAATAACATTTGCAAAAAAAATAGACATTCTGCTGGACGTAATCTATATTTCACCGGTTCCATCGACTTTTCTGCACTCCTCTTGTTTTAATGACATCAAAGACACATTTAAAGCGTTTAATTCGTCATATTATTGTAGGTCTCACAGCAGGAGCTGCCATTCCCATAGTCATTGTGCGGGGAATTGGAGGTAAATTGCAGTAAGATAATGAGATAAGTGGTCAAGGCTCCGCTGATCTGTTGTGAATGATAAACGAATTAGGAAAATTTATGAAAAATATATGCAATAACTTACCGTAAAGTACAAAGTGCGGTCAATGTTAAACAGACCAGCTGCGGTAAAATTTATTTTGAGATGCATTAACTGCATGGAGAACTGCTGCAGTTTCTCCTTGACCTCAGCACTTTTGGTTTTATTCAGTAGGGAGTGGACTATTCCTCCGGTCTTCTCGCTTTTCTTGATTGCCCGATTACTTCCCTCGACAATGGATATAATGGCAATCAGATACAAAATCATTTGACAGGAGAAAAATGTCACAAATTCCACTGTTTTGAATTTACTCTCGCGCTTCGATTTTCCCAGCAGAGTTTCCAAAACATAATAAGCATCGAAAACGATAATTAGAAATGCTATAGATATAATGGTCAGCAATTGGTAGGTAAAATATTTGTTGGCCGTTGCAGCTGCCTCGCAAATCAGATGATGTATCTCCATGGACTCCTGAATGATTTCAGCCGGATCTTTGGTTACTATGGTGTACATGGAAAATGAATCGAGGCACTGGAGTGATCGCTGTTTTTGGGTGACAGCTTTCAGCGTACGAGAATCCCATTGATGAGAAAGATTTTTGAGGACCTTTAAGAAAAACAAATAAATGTATATTACTTAATTATTTGAAACTTCTTATCCTACTCAACCTTATTTAATGCACTTAAATAAATGCGTAACTTGATCATCAAATTTCCCGCCAGAAAGGAAATAGCACATACTATAAAATGTGGCGAAAAATAACTGATCACCGCAGGTAAAGAAAATGTGACAGTATCTCTTAAGCTGATCATAAGGAAACTACCGGTAATATACACCGTCATACTGCCAACCAAAATCATAACCAACTGATTCATTTTCCTCGAAGCTGGAACCTGATGCATTGCCACGCCCACCCGCGGAAACGCCTTCGTCTCCAGTCCATCGAATAGGGCCAACACTTCAAGAAGTTTTCTCCTTTTTAACAGCGATATAAGTAATATGGCAAATATTCCCAGCATTCCGTTGATCTTTTGCAATCCAGCTATCGTATTAGAGATATCCGTGATGAAAAAGTTCGACATCAACGAGGATCGATTGATGGAGCTGTACAGAAAGTTTCCAAAATATATGGCCATTCGCAAAATCATGTTGATGTAGCCCCAATACGATGCTGATAGTTTGCCTCTGCCTTCCGAAGAACTGGTCACATAAAAAGGCACAATTCCGAGCCAGAGGGCCATGAGTATAGTCAAACGATAGCAAGTATAAACGTCTTGGGGACGATTGCCCAATTTCTCAACCAAACGCCTTAAGAGCCACATGACGTATGAGCGCTCTATGAAGGCATTGTGGACATGGAATTCGGAAAGTAGGATAAGAATCGCTAATAAGTTGGAGAGGTCATTAAGCGACGGCGAGTGGTAATAATCTTTACGACCGATATATATCAAATTATACGAAGAGCTAAAGCCTTGTACATCCAGCCATTGAACGAGGCTTAAAGGCTTAATAGTTTTTTAACTGGTTTTAATAGGAATCGGCTTATGAATGCTTTAATTCTAGTTTCAAAAATATACAAATAATTTAGAAAAAAATTAGATTTCTTAAGAAGTGAAAAAAATGAGAAAAGTCTACTGTCTCCTTGAATTTTTTTTATTATTTTACTCAAATTTTTAAATTTATTACTTAATTTTTTTAAATTAAGAATATAACAGATATACAAGAATGTATTTGCACATATTTAAAACAATATTTTTTAATAAATAAGGAAACCCACCTGATTTAGTACATCGAAATGCTGCCACAGACGATGTAAACAAGCCCCAAAAAGCATTACAACGCTTAGCAAAAATATGTGGGGTACATAGAAGGCTACAGCTGCTGTGTAAATAGGTCTTACGTCATTTCGCATTAACATCCAGATAGAACTGATCAAATAACTCAGTTGGACACCGTTAATGAGCAAAATTTGCACGTGTCTTAATCGCATAATGGCAGAGTAATTAAAACATACTCCCAAATTAAGCAAACGATCATCTATGAAGGATATACGATCCCAAATTCGGATAAGTAACCGAACTCGAATACTGCTGCAGAGGAAAAGAATTGTCATCCCAATCATGCCGATGAATTTTTGAATAGAGTCTCCAACTTTGGATATTTCCGATTTGAAGAAGTATCCCACAATACTTTGCTGCTCAATTAGAGCTGCTAAAAAGCAATAGCTGAAGAAACTCAACTGGAGAAAGGCATTAAGGTAGCCAATTTTACTAGACCTATACTGCATTTCACCAACATGACCTCTCAAACGAAAAGGGGTCAGACCGAGGAGATAGGTGTAGAACAGTAAACTTTGCTCGGCACCAAAAGCATTCCGAGGACGAAATAATTCGCACATTAATTTAAACATTTCTTGATACAGTTGTTTATATTTTTGCAACAATTGTTTTAAAAATAGCTTGCTTTGTAACCGAAAAAGAAACTACTTCATGGATACCTCTGCAAGTTCCTTTTATATGCTTCTCCAAAAAACTTTCTCCAGTGATTAGTTTTTAAAGTATTTATTATCCACACCTTGAACGTCATGACGGGCTTAGTATTGTCTACTTTTCGCAGTTGACAGGTCAGGTAATGGAAACCCGTCCATCACACACCGACAAAGTTCTCATTTAATGGCAATTTCTGCGGGGTTTCATCGTTTATGAAATTATAAAGAGGGAGTTGCTATCTTTCAGTTGGCTGGTTCATGGTCAGCGTTTGTGTGGCTAATTAATTTAATTGAATTAACTGAAAGAAATTGAAAACCCTTTAAAAATAACGGAGTCGGTATTTAACTACTGCCGTTATTGCTCAAAAGTCCTTTGGGAAATACTAAATTAGCTCGAGTCATTTACCATATGAAATATCGCAAACATATTAAACATATATTGTAATTATTCCTTTTTAATTTTATTTAAATATCCTATAATAAATTCATAAAATCTACTAGCTCATGAAACTTATTTCAATAAATTGGTTTTAAGGAGAGATATGAAAATTTTTTTGCCAGCGGGTTTTTAAATCCATACATAGTTTTTTAAATGAAGACGATATTTTTATTAACGCACTTGTTACGATTATGCTATTTACTTTCATTTTGTATGATGTTATTAATCTCCTATTGAGTTAGATTACGTTTTCACCTCCGAATTTCATTTATTACCTTATTGACCATCACCAGTCGCATCTCCACCAGATATGTAAAGCAGGTAAAGAGCGCAATGGCTATAGCGATGACCGTGTGCTGGATGAGAAAGGTGAAGTGGAGGGCCAATGTGGGCGAAACTAACGAGGAGTACAGAACCGAGAAGGTGCCACAGGTGAAGAGTAAGTTGACCAAAAACATGGAGATCAGGATCATATAGCTAAATCGCAGCACCTTACTGTACATGATCTTAACGCCCACCGTCTGCAGCTGCATGTCCATGGTGTGAAACTTCTGCAGACATCTCTCCAAACGATGATTTGGTATAAAGGCAGTCAAGTATATGACAGTGACTCCAATGAAGCCGCTTACAATCTGCATCATATCCCCAAAATAGGTGATGCGTGATCGAAAGAAATAGCTGGCCACCGATTCGCAATTGTTATATATGGTAAGGCTATAGGCAAAGCCAAATAGAGCAATATGCATTATGCCATTTATGTAGCCAAAAATGGTTTTCTTGATGGTTCTCTTTCCGGTTTTGCTATCGCAACTAATGTAGAAGAAGGTGAGTCCATGGATGTAGGTGACGTGGAAAACTGGACGGAGGCACTCGTAAAGCTGCTTGGCGGTAAAAAATCGCCGAAATCTACGGCGCAGGGGCTGGCACAATCCCGAACCCACTTCTATTTCCGGCGTATCCCTATGATCCACCGACTCCTTCGCCGTTTCTATATCCATGACTGCTTCGTTCGAGC